CAGCCTCCCCAGACATCCCCCCCCCCCCCCGTCTCCTCTGGCCTGGGCCTTCCCCGGGTTTGTCCCAGGCCCGGAGGATTGTTCGCTGGGTCTGAGCTGCGCAAGTTTTGTTTATCGCGCGTTAGGGTTTGACTTCTAAACATCTTTTTAACATCAAAATTCTTAGGGTTGCGCCAAGCTTATGTGGAAATTCTCTTTTATCAATATGCCGCTGCCTTGTAAAGTACGACTTGCAGCTTTCCTCCGCTGGCCCGGCGGTGCCAGCGTGCGTGTCTGCAGAGGCCGTGCGCCCCTGGGATGGGCTCTGCCCTTTTTCCTATTTAATTGCCTTTGCTCGCTCTAACTAGCTTGACTTTAGCAATTCTCATCTCCAGTGCTTGGAGACCTGGGACTGAATGAACACAGATGGCAAGTACGGACAGGAGCATTCAAGGGACAGCAGCTTTTCTCTGCCAGAAGAGGTAACAACCAATGTACTGTTCATAACCAACAAGTGTATATATAGACAGATTTTTTTTTTTTAACCATTCCTTGCAAATTGAGCTTTCTCCTTGTCTTTTCTCTGCTGCCTTAGGTCAGACGCCCTCCTGGAGCCATTCCCCATGAATCCTTCTGCCCTTTTTTCAGGTTATAATTTTGGGATGATTTTTTTTCCCCTTTGCCTTAAAGGAATACCACACTCAAGACCTTGAGTTCTCGTCTCTGGTTGACTTCCCTAGTCAGGTCTCATCACTTCTCAGAGTGTGTCCTTTGCAACAAGGAGCCCGAGCTTCTGCAGTCTGGCTTGTCCTTCCCTTCACACTGTATTGTAGTAATTGCTCCATCGAAGGTTATTTTCATGTCCAGCTATTTTTATGAGTCTCTGCCTTACCAAAACTGTGCCTAAAATAGCACCCTCCTTGTGTTGGGATATGGTGAATAAATCTACTGGCTGCCAGCAAAGTAAGCATTCCCCACTGCCTTCCCTCCAGTAGACATTGCTGGTCTATGGAGGTCACCGAGAGCTAAAGGATTTTCCCCAGCTTTTCTCGCCTGAGGTCACTCCTCAGTGTGCTCGTGGGCTCAGCTGGTCCTGTCCTGGTCTGTCCTTCCTTAGGAGTGCAAGAGGCTGTTGCTGCATTTTAAAGGTGAGAGCTGTGAGGAAAAAGCTCATGGCACATGATTCACGCTCTAGCGATTCTGGAATATTTTGGAGAGCATTGTAGAGCTGCGCCCTGGCAGCATGATCGACTGCCTATTTGCGTGCCAGGTAATTTATAGAATAGTTACCAATTCCAGTGATTTAGAGGCTGGTTTCCAGGAGACTTGGGATGCCTGAATCCCAAGGCACTAACGCACTGAGCCTGCAGATTTGCTCCAGCAGCAGAGAGTTTGCGCGGATGCAGGGATCTGACTGCAGGAGGGTGCCCGACTGCGAAGCGTTTGACTGCTCCTTTAGGTGACGTCTAAGGAGTAAGACCTCAGAGATAATCACAAGTAGTCCCAGCAGTTTTGAGCTGCTCTATTCTTCCAGGAATATACTTTTGATTTGCCTTTAACTAACATATGTAGGTTTTATTTTTTTAAGTGTTTCACACTGTGAACAAAGCATTAAATGATTGAGCAGCAGCACGAACGTTTTGCAAGTACCTTTACACGGGAAGTGTTTCGCTGTTTTGGGTTTTTAGGGAGAGGAGGTACTTCCATGATTATTACCGGGGCTGTGTCCCTGCAAGGCCTTTTCAGAGTGGTGAAGGCTGGCGAATGTTGTGCAAAAGGCTCTGGCAGACCAAGAGAGCGTGAGCGCACCCACGTTAACCAAGGACGGCTGGGCAGATGACTTAAAAGGGGAAGAGGATGCTATGGGGAAGGTGTGCCAAGGGCTGGGATTTTATCTGTGACTAAATGCGTTTCACAGTACAGTCAGAGTAAGCTGTGCTGCACAGCCTGAGCGGCACACTGTGATTTCATCAGACTCGAGAAAATAAGCGAGAGAGGGGAATTTATTGTTGCCTTTTCTCCTGTGTAATTTCCCGAGCCCGGGGCTTAGTGCGAGGTGCTGACTTGCAAATGACACATCATTATGGAGCCAGCCCAGAGCTGCGAAGCGTTGCTGGGAGAAGTGGTCCGAGGGAGTGGAGGGAGCTGGCTCTTGCTATTTCATTCATGCTGGTGCTGGGCCTGGTCTGGGAATATGTTGATTTAATTCCCACAAGTTGGTTCTTGGATGGTGCGAATAAAGCTGCTGACAGTGAATGAAATGGGATTTGACACTGGAGAACCTGTTAGGCTCAGTAGATGTAGGTCTGGTGGGAAGCTTCAAAGGGCTGTATTTTAAGCCACTTTTCCCCCATCTATCTTTGATTTAATATTTTTGAATCTCCGGTAACTGTAGTTTTTATGATGAATGAGCAGAAGATGACAATGAAGCCACAGACAATAAAAATGCAAGAAAAGTCAGAGCTAATTATATTTAAAATTGTACAAATATTTTTTCCCCATTGTTTTTGTAAAAATCAAATATTTAAAAAATGGTCTCAGTGACCTGATTTAAAGATGGGCTGGCTTCTTTGATAAAATATGAACTATTTGAAAGATTTATAAGGGTCAGAAATCCTGCTGGACATTTTAGTATTTAGAGCAGCAGGAAACCACTCTGTGATATTTTTAAAACAGGTATTTACTCAAGTAATTGGTTACTTTTTATGTGGAATAAGAAAACCTGATGTAGCTATATTGGACTTGACATAAAAGAGAGGTATGTAATTTGTGAGCAAAACAGCGTGGAATGTACACATTGTACCTGAGGAGGTATTTCGAGAAAGACAACTCCTTGAGACAAAAAGCCAAAACAACAGACACGCTAGGTTGCATGCCAGAATTGTTTATTCCTTAGTTAATCAGCTGTGTAATAGGTGCCCAGAAACAATCCCTTCTGCACAGGTAGTTTGAGTTTCAAAGTTCGTAGGCTTTGTGGCCTTCATAAAATGGATTACATGGAAGTTGGATGAAAAACACATGTTTCTGAGAACATTTTGGTTCAAATAAAAAAAATGTGGCAACGTTAGTGCCAACAATTTACTACAGAATATCTGAACCAGATGCTGTTAAACTATAATTCCAAGCAATTGGCCAGAATTATGTATTTACTTTATTTTAAAGTCAAACTAAAGATATGCATGGTTTTTATTACTTGTGGATATAAACAAAAATGTGATGTGATTACAACTAATATGGGACAGATAATGCCAAGCAGCCATGATTTCTGTGACTACTGCACTCGCTAAAGAAAAATGGAAGCTCTGTTGGTAATTATGTGTAAAAGGGTCTTCAAGATGTGGCTGTTCAGACTGAGACGTATCAGACTGCAGTCTGCTTAGTCACTAAATAAGAGCATCGGCCAAAAGCATCTATTTCTCCCCTTTTCTCACAATAGTACAATTTTTTTTTTTGAGAGAACGGGGAAGAGATCTGTAAGACGCACTGAGTTACTTACATTCTTGACTAAAATAAGATAGAGAGTATATGTATTTTAGTTAAAAACGCATATAATACTCCTGTTACAACATTGCTGTAGGCAACCTCCCGCTTGCCCGTTCTTATCCAGATGAGCTGCTATATGATGCTTAAAAAGATAGCTATTGACGTCAAAACTGCCATCTTGAAAGGACAGAGTGAGTTTTAGCAGGAGTTTTAATGCCATTACGGGTCATTCCGGTTATAAAGGGTTCTAGCTGGCACTCTCACAAGCCAAAACAGTCTTT